CAACACCGTACACCAGTTTCAGGAAACAGTTTTCCTCAGTTGGTGCCCATCATGGAAGTTTAAACATAGCTGACACTGAAATGGTTACGAACCTCCTGACCTTAAATGGCATATAATCCAGTATTAATACCATGTGAGCTCAGAAAATACCTGTCGGTTAAAGCGACTGTTTGTGTCGATGCGATGTATGTCACTGATATCTGGCGAGACTTACGCATCGTTTCGAAATACAAGTTTATACTGAATGAACATCTGGAAACTTCCAGTCTGTCATTGCCTAATTTAATAAATTCTTAGTTGGCAGATTTTTTTCAGTTTTTATTTTTGCGTTAACATATTGAGCCGTGATTTATTCCGTAATGTTACATATCGGGTGCTGGTCCGAACATTCCTTCTGATTTGAGTAACATCTGCATGACAAGAAACCATCTAGTGTCTTCAGTCTCCTGTAATTCAGTCCTTAGGGAATCGGTAGTGGAAACCGAAGGTGGCGTTGTGATTAAAAAGTGTTGAAAATTTTGGTGTATTGAGTTTAATTGTCAGACCAGCTCAGTTGGGGGACGTCAGATTCACGTCAGAAAGCTACTGGCTACAATCCAGGTCAAATGGCTTAACTTTCGTCCTTCCAAGTTAGACAGATGACTGTTACTATTGAAAAGGGAACAAGAAACTATGCGTACAAGTGAGTAGGTAGCTGTACATATCTGTTTGAATATCACGATGCAGTGTTCTCTAATGGATCGCAATGGGGATTTTGACACCGCACCGCGTATTTCAAGATAAAGACTGCTCTAAATGCCACCTGTAATTCAGGTATACATCCGACCGAGAACCAAACGTTTTCCAGCGTTCCTTTCTTTTTGCTTGCTGAATTGTTCACCGTCATGAAAGCTATATCGCTATTGACTGCGTTCATTATTGTCACTTTTGCATGATCGTTTTCATTCGTTGTTAAAGGTTTGAAAATTAACGTTTCATTTTAGGCAACTTACAACTGTTGCAGTTGAACTCAGAGCGGACGATGCGCGCCGCGGAACGCGAAGCCAGGAGGTAAGGTTTCACGGGTGAGCGTTAAAAGCCATCCCCGCGGTGTTGCTCATCGATTTGATTTCATTCATTACACGATGTCGTTTATTTAGAAGCAGACGGAGACAGGCACGTGAGAAACTAGTCGACGGCTCTAATCATCGCGATGGCATGTCAAGCGATGACGAAGAGGTGCCCAGTCGCATTGTGACGTACAATGCTGAGAAAGGTACGCATGCAGTCGTTTCATTATCGGCTACTGATGTTATCAGTCGTTACTGACGAGGCTTCCCATCCATGACGTAACTGACTGATCAGAAGAGTAGCTTGGTGAAAAGCCTGGGCACCAGGCGTACAGTGTTTACTTCGCATATCATTACGCGCGTATCACTGGTCCTTTCTGGTCGCCAAACAAGGTTAAGAAAACGAAGAAGACATTTAAGAGAATTACATATCTTCGTTTCGAAACGATAGTCGTTCAGTTGACACGATGCCAGTAATTTTTCCTTTCCCCGCTTCTACATATAAGTCGTGACAAGAAATCCATGTAGAACACATGTTCAAGAGAGCCGAGTGCTATGCAAAATTTAGAGACATTTCGGTGTATGTTATCGTCCAGAATGGTAATCCGTCCATATTTATTTGGACTGAAACCAGTTTGCGGCCTCATGCATTGATCCCAGTCGTCGTACGAAGCTTCTAATAGGTCTGTTATATGGCTGTATGACAACTTGCTTGATTATTAGTTACGGGTAACAGAAGTAACCAGTAACCATAGTTTTCAACCGGCCCCTCTCCCTGAGGTTCGAACGCGTTCCTCGTTTATTTGCGCAAAAGGAGATATGGATTAGTTATTGTTTCTGTTCGATTAACGCAGAATCTGTACCATTAAAATAGACCTCTACAGCTGCTGCGCCCGCAATCCAGAGGACAGC